TTTTTGTAGTGCTTTCTAGGATTTTATATGGATTCTTTCGTGTATCATTTTGGTAATGAATGGGAATTTTCTTTGACAAAATAAAAAATCTGACCAACGGGTATAAGCATTGGACTATTGGAGACTCAAAAGTTTGTATTTCATGAGCAGAGCTCAACTGGTTCGATAGTTCGAAAACTAAGTATGACTCGTCTTTCGTTTGCTCATTCTTGAACCGTTTGTATTCGTCATTTTTGTGGATTATTTCTACCTAAGGCATTCAAGAATCCTTAAAAATGGAGCTTAACTTATATGTGAGCCAATGGTGATTTGATGTGAGATAAAATTTAAATTTCGACATTACAAATTCACCAAGCAATTATTTAGTTTGGGTTAATTGTCCAATTAGTTCTAAAATTATTGTACATTTGCCAATTCAATTCTAAACTTTTTGATTTTGTTAATTTAATTTTAAACATTTTCTTGTAGAGTATTTGTATAATTTACACCGTGCAATTAGACTATTATCATTTATTTATCATTATCATGCACTCTAGGGCCCTCTTCAAGGGCTTTATAACAAGGCTTTGTTTAACAGCTTTCGTTGATACTTGCGGATATATATATTCAAAAGTGTTTGCTTGATAATTTCTCAATATTTTTTCTGGTGTTAAACAATGCATGGACATATAGATGCAGATTAGGATCGAAAGGAGCCAAGAAAGCCATGAAAATGTTTTTCATAAAGAGGAAAATGAACTAATTAGGGGGTATTGAAAATTTTTGCGTAAGCAAAATCCCTAAATCTCATAATATATGGTTTGTAGGAAGTAAAGTAAATTCCCCCACTTTACTTATTATCAGTCTAATAAATAAGTTAGTGGCAACCCTAAGACAATAAGGCTTAATATGAATAAGAAACCAAATCGCAATTAGTAAAGTTTGAGAGAGACCATGTAGAATGCAACATCTACGTTGTGATAGGATTATTGACAACCGCTTAGCACTCCGTTAAACCCCTTGGAGCCTACCTTGGGAGGGTCGCGATAGGGATGTTCGACTTAAGTTACCATTGTCCACTCCACTCGAATTACAAAGATTCGAGATTGACAAGCTTATAGCTTTAAGCCCATCGGGTTGGCCGAAATCCAAAAAAATTTTCCATGGCCAAACGATGCTTACAACATACCTCGAATTTGCATAGTCGAGCCTTTCACTCGCCATTTGACTTCCGTTCCCCAACCGCTCCTCCATTCTCCACACGTGACGACAAGCCGCGGCGGCGGGGGCCAGCACACGTGTCTCCCCACCGGTGGTCCCGTCGGCCCACCCAGATGGAGGGGGGAGGGGTTGACTTTTTTTTATCGATCCCCGCGTGCGGACGAAACGGGGGTGGAGTTTCCCGCAGCCAAAGCAGCAGCTGAACCTACGCCCACTCCGACAGTCAACGCCCCTTGTCCTCACGTGTACGCGCCGGGGGCCCACCCGGAAAACGCCCAGACGCCTCGCCAAAAGTCAAAGCCGCATGCGAACAAGAAAGCCCTTAACCTTCCCTCACTCCCAAGGCAAACCACTCGCGGGTAGGAACCGTCGGCTTGTGCAGGAGATGTGGGGTATCCTGTGGCGCACACTTGGTCGGCTGGCTGGGGCAGAGTAAGTAGACGCATGATTCAGCTTTGCTTGTGGATTGAGAGAGAGAGAGAGAGAGAGAGAGGCGGGACTAACGTGTTTTGGTTTCGCCTATCTATTTCCTATCCATCGATTTGGGGGTAACAAGTTCGAGATTTCGTCACGGGAGAGATTCCGACTCGATAGACGCGACAAGGGGCGAGGTAGGCCGAGCCAAGGCGGGGCCGGAGATCGCATTCATTGTGAACCGCGTCTCGTCGAAGGCGACCCGTACTTGTGGCGCGGGTCTCGTTGATGAGACGAGATAAGTTCCGATCCCCGTTCCTGAGAGCACATGAATTACTCGTCCCGTTTGCCCCCACATCTCGTGAAATGAACGAGTGTATTTCTAATTGAAAGGAGAATTAGATTTTAATCCCGGGAACAGCACCCCACAATTCTCTATCATCCTCATCCCGTCTTGCGCTCGGAGGACGGCGTGTTTGATCTCTTCCCCCTTATCAAAATTCGCGAATCGCGATGGATAGTGTGAATCTTCATTAGAACAAGTCAATTTTTCAATCACCACTCAATACCGATCATGGCGGGGAATGTTTAATTATCCCAATTAGATCTCACATGCAAATAATTTCCCAAACTAAACACGAAAAGCCGCTTTTGATTAGATTGAATGTAACTAGACACGACTTTCAACAGAATTAAATGATGAAATTTTATCACCATTTGACATGGCAGAATTTCTTTTGCAACGTATTTGAAAGCAGATTGTCATCCTCTCAACTGAGAGAGCAAAGCGCACTTAATTTACCTACTCAAGGTCGTGAAAGGCTGATTCTCTTTTAAATGCATTTCAATCACTCAAACAAAACAACACTCACGTACTTTTATCTAGATTTGGGAGTGTAATTTAGGTCAATTACTCTAGAGAGAATCGAGATGTTAGGATATTGTGAGAAGAACATTTATGAAGATTGAAAATGACCAGACTATAGTCCTAAAAGACGTGTCGATAAAGATATATAGTTGCTCAATTAATGTTGCAAAACCACCGGTACACAATTGGATTCTTTGCCCCTGGAGGAACAATCACTTCCCAAGCAGAAACTTCAAACGTAGATTCCGGGAAATGGTCTCCTCATCATGGGCCAATTTCGATATTTTATATACTTAATTTTCATAACCTATATAGTTCCTAGGCAATTAATTCATGCATGTATTATCTGCTTGCGTGCAAGGGAGAGATAGTGCTGAGTATATATCATGCGTGGCAGTAGGCACCATCATCACTATTCAATGAGATTGCAATTGAGATTGGGATGTATTATGAAGGATGCGAAGCGAATAGGGATTAGCAAGTCCAAGGGCATGATGACAGCGAAGCCTGCAAGCCCCTAGCCGAAATGCGAAAAACCAAAAATAGAGATGCAAATAAAGGTGGCAAAAACCAACCGGAGAGCAAAATAAAACTGACAAGTACTTCATAAGTGAGTTTAGGTGTTAAATAAAATGATTTGGTTAAAACTTGAAAGTGTGAGTACAACTAATGTGGAAATAGTGGGACCCACGATAGGATTCTCTCGAATTATATGCGTTGTGATTGACACTGCATAAGACGTAATCCATAGAATCAGTTTATTGAATGTTGTTTCGCTCAATAATGTTATCTCACATCAGGTTAACCAAAAGATGTTCGCAATATAAATTTATGCTAAATCGACTTGCATTGTGTCATTAACTTTCAAATTCCTAACAATCAACCGGCATACTCAAAATTCTAATAAGTTGGGAAAGGTTGATTCATCTTCCATAACTAGTCTAATTTATACATGTTTAATATTAAAACATCGATCCACTTAAAAAACTTGAAATTTTACAACATATGACAATAGTCTCACCAAATTTTCATAGCATTAAGGGAGGAAACGACTTGAAATCTTTGCAGGTGTCTTTTCATCTCCTTAATTGTATATTTCCACATTCCAGTCTTAGGCCAATTCCCAACCTACGCGTGGGCACGAATGTTAACAATGGTCTGACAAGATTTTTCACAATGGAATTTCCTTCTTCTCTATACAGCCTTTTGTGCTAGATTTGTAACAGAATTAGTTCCGCCAGATCACTATCGTCTAAATTATTTATGACAATGTCATTATGCAATATTCTTAGGGGAACGGTCATCTGATCAAATTAAAAGGGTGTTGAGTATTCAAAAACATTTTTTATTGAAAATCCATTCTTGACATCTGTAATCAATATTTTGCTATCCAAAGTTGGTTTCATCCTTGAATATTATAAGAAGAATTGTTCGGCGAAAAGGAGGAAGACATTATGCAATTTCTCAAGGTATTTATTAGTGTTTCTTTATTGGTTGACTCTTCTTTTGTTAGGAACGGGTCCCGGATGAGTTAGCTTTGGTCCACCTCAATGCATCCATCCATGGCATACACAGACAAACACGCACTAAACTCCAGAACCATAAGTCAGTACTCTCTGAAACAATGAAACATTTATCGATCTATCTATGCACATGCTAGAGAAATTTAATGCATACCATTAAAGATAGGGTTTTTCATACTTGTGTGTAAATTTTCTTTACATAAATTAACTCGATCGAATGGTATGTGTTCTTCACATACATATCTCATCAGTCGAAGGACAGCCTGTGTAACAAAACATTACACGTACCGCTTCTATGGTTTTTATTAGAAAAGATCTTGTTACCAAAATGACTTAATTAAGAAGACGCCCGTTGATGCGTTCACGCTCTTGACATATAAAAATCCATGATGGAGAATAAAGCTATCGATTTTCATAGAAATTGGTCAGTAAATTGTACTCATCAATATAAGTAATTAGTACCGGCTATCTTTGCTTTTCTCAATAGATCCAAGTTAGGTAGGCTCGATCATTATACTTAATATAGCTTGTGAATTTTCGAACATAACTTCCTGTATGCTTAGGCGGACGCGATGGAATGAAGGGACTTGCTAATTATCAATCAGGATCCGAGTCATCACATACAAAGAAACTAAAGTTATTTATTGCATGATCATAACAATAAAAGTTACCTAGTTCACTATCCTCAACTGTCCCATGTATGAAGAAGATGCTTTCTTAGATTGACCCACCGCGAAGGCCGATCCACAGTGCAGAACAGTTGACAGGCGTGAATCCCCGAAGAAGTCAATTTCGAGTACGTACAAGAAAAACTCTCGTGTCTAGCCTTTTGCTTCAAAAAGTCAATTTGTATGTTACATATAATGTTAACTATTGGAGGCCAAAACGAACACGTAGACGTCACAACAACTTTCTCTTCTCTTCATCTGCTCCACTCCATCCCTTTTCTTAAGCTCCTCTCATCATCTCCTCGCTCTCACTTCTTATCTCCCTCTCTCTCCCTCTCTCTCTCTCTCTCTCTCTCTCTCTCTCAAGTATTCCTAACGTTTTGCGTGAGAAGCTTGAAGATATAATGGAGGAAGAGAACGGTTTCGGTGACGAGGAAGAGCTTGTGAGGGAGCTTCTCAACGACGACTCTCCCTTCTTTATGATGGCAGACCCGTCGATGGAGTCGTCTGGTCAAGAGGATGCCATCAAGTGGCTCATGTCCACCGTCTATTCGGGCCCGACGATTGAGGACATCGAGGGCGCCTTGTTCTCGAGCACCCACCAAATGGATATTGGACGACCGCAAGATTATTCACCGGCCAGGTTTATTTCTGATTTTTTGGTTGAAATGTGTAATATCGTGGTGAATTAGGACTGCTATTACAGTTTTGTGTGATTAGTTGTTCATGGCGTGCTCTTCTTGTGGCTCAGGGTTCAACCTTGGTCGTTTCAGAGGGGGCTTAATAAGATAGACCACAAGTATACGCTTAAGATAAAGAGTTGTGGAAATGGGTTGACGGATGACGGATACAAATGGAGGAAGTACGGCCAAAAGTCTATCAAGAACAGTGCCAATCCGAGGTAACTACTTGTTTTCTTCTTTTCAAACCACATTATAAGCTAGCATTCTTAGCTTTCTATTTTCAACATGTAACTTGAAATCGCTGGATCGTCCGGTTTATAGGTTTGACTTTCGAGATATACAAATTATCCTTAAAATTTCACTAATGGTTGTGTAAGCACACTGTTATGAAGAATGGACAAGTGGTTTGATAATATCTAGTTCTTCAATGTCTGAGTAGAAAATACTACCCTTACTTCAGAGTTTAATTTGTTTATTCACTTGGTTTTCTCATTGTTTATATGAAACAGGAGTTACTACAAGTGCACAAACCCAAGGTGCAACGCCAAGAAGCAGGTGGAGCGATCCAATGACGACCCGGACACGTTCATCGTCACCTATGAAGGTTACCACCTCCATTTCACTTACCCTTACTTCCCCGTCGGCCCCGCCTACCAATTGGACCCACCAGTCAAGAAGCCCAAGAAGGCCGTTTCGTCGGCAGACGCCCAAGCCCACGATAAGCCCAATCAAGTCCAAGAAGCTGAAGGAAGCGCCGACGCATTCACAACCGGGCTGGCCCAAATTGCGATCGAAGACTGTCGTCCGGCTCCTACCCAAGAAGCGATAAGCCACCAAGGGCTCGGGCTTCTCGAAGACGTGGTGCCTTTCATGATTAGGAACCCAACGAGGAACAATGTCGTCTCTGCCCATTCATTGCCTTTTCCTCCAAATTCGCCTTCTTATCAGTCATGCTTCCCGAGTTATTCAACTCAGTATTATGGCATAGGCCTCGGTTCATGCATCAAGTGAACATGTGCGCACATAAGTAAAGTCATATACAGTTTAAAAGGTGAATAATTAGGCAATGCTTCTAAGGTTTCTTTGCATGTGACAGGAATGTACCGGGCTCATCTATATATAGCTGTAATAAGCGATAGTCATATTATATGTAGTCCAGCTTGTGAATTGTTATTCAATTTTATGGTGCATTTGAGTTGGTATTGACAAGCGGATCGCTCTAATTTAGGCCTAAACAAAGTAGAGATAAAGTCGTAATATGGGCCTTGATATGTACAATAGAGCTTACTACCTTCTTAAGTTGTGGACCTACTTATAGGCAAATGCTTATCAAATGGAAGACTCGGGCTGTTCATGATTGACTCCAAGGCTATGTTTAGTGGGCTGATTAGGGCTATTAACATCGATCGGGTGTTCCTCTCCAATCCACAAAATGGATTGTTTTGCCTTTAAGATTCGATTTGAGCCCAAATGAAGTGATGATAGGTTTTGATTTTGTTGGCCTCCTCGATCATTATCTATTCTATGTATAGACAAAATGGGAGATGGAGAAGTTAGGTATCGAACTCGAGGCTTTGTTGATTTTGAAGAGAGTGGATCTCTACGAGCTAAGATTTAAGAAGCCTCGAGTTCAATGGGGGGATATACAGTGAATACAGAGTAGAGGTATTCAACCGGCGAGCTTGGCAGCTCGAGTCAAGCCTTGTTTTAGGTTAAAAAGTTAAGATTGAGCCAGGATCGGGTCGGGCCAATGGCACCATGCACAAGGGCCCAAGATTTGCCTAATAGCTAATATGAGGAAAAAAAAGTACGCTTATGAATGCCCTAATAACGATGACATACGAATTTCACCCAAGTAAATGTCTAATGAATTCGATTTCTTCGACATTGTGTCCCTCACTGTGATTCAAATGATAAAATGCCACCGTTGTCCCCTTGTTCATGTTGGGCATGTTCGACTAGAGTCAATTCTTGAAATAACCAATCATGCTTACAGACAGTCGCTTCTATATTTTTTTGCAGTAAAGTTGTTGCTATTGTCTTCAATGATCTGTTGGCTAGTACTGAACATAGACTCCCATAGTATGATAAACGCCGGTAGGGTCAGCAAGTCATAAGCCACGGTGAAAGAATCGGAAAACTGGCGGCTCTCCTCTTCCACCATTTCAGAATATCTAACACATTGTCTTCATCAACTCTTTCAATGTTCTTAGAGTAGTTTGTTGTCAAGTACGTCTTCAACTCATCAGTAGATGAAGATGAAGATGAAGATGAAGAGTTAGCATAAGGTTCTGGGTGTTTTCCTTCTAACAAAGCAAAGATCATAGAAATTTTCCAGGCACTGCTTGATAAGGGCACATCTCTGCCCGTGGGGTAGAACACGTATCGAATCGATTGGCAACATACATATTTCCAAAAAAAAAATGGAGTAAGGAGAGTTTTGAATCTCTCCAACTTGAACCTCGGATCCAAGACAGAGGACACAAAAACAAGCAAAATGTTCTCGTAATGTTTCAGGAATTTTACCTTAATGGCCAGTACTGCTTCATTGAAAAAACAATCACCCTCCTTGTTCGCCAATTCAACTCACGTAATGTACAGAAACAAAACGGCATGGTTGCTTAACGGATAACTGTCGGCTTGTCCCACTTGACGATACGCTGAATAATTTGGCGGCATAATGGCCTTATTGACACCATTGATCTCAAGCCAAAATATCTTCTAGACTTCAAACGTTCTTATCCGCCGAGCCAACGCTACAACTGCTTGGGGGCTTTCTCCAAGGGTAAGGGTTTCGTCCACGGAAGTGTCTTCTCGAGGACTAGCTTCGAGCATTCACCCCTGCAATTCCTCCCCATTGTCGAGTCGCTGTGCCTCATCATCAATCAATTCGGCTTGTTGCGAGGGCGGAGCCGACGCGCATACGTTGTAGTCGCGAAACTCAATGAACAAGTCCCACGACAATCTAATGGTAAAGTCTGGATCTAGTTGTGATCATCATAAACAATTGCTGTTACTGTTATCCGTGAATTTTAGAATGCGATTAAATTGTTGCGAGAGGAAATAGATGAAATTGACGAACGATTTTAGAGAGCAAAAGCATTAGGAATGCTGAAAAACGAGAGAAGGGGGCTAATTCATAAAAGGGCAAAATCCTTTTTTGCCAAGTCGGTGGGGTTGTTTCACAGTCTGTGATCCAATAATCCAAAGAATGCATTTCTGTTGGGCTAAGCCCACCCATATTTCCAGCCATTTTTGGGGCTTTTTGTCCGTATAAACTCGGACATATTGAATAAAATAAAAAGCATGCTAGCTGTTGCTCGGTCTGTATCTATATTTTCGAGACAAAGAACATGTATAGAAAATTTCGAAGTAGATGGACAGACGCCACCCGAAGGATGATGTCGATCAAGTCCCAAAAGAAGTTAATTGCCAACTGAAGTATGATGCTATTACTGATCAAAAGATGTGAGACAACTAGCAATCAAATAATTAGAGTTACATTCGGATGATTTCGGGACCATTAACTTTCAAAAGATTCTCACATTGAAGTTTCTATCCTCACACCCATTTAGCCAATCATCGACGACCTCAGATATTAATCAGACGATTCGATATACACGTGTCGAAATTCAGTTGAATGTATAGCTGGACGATCGCTTTCACGCTGGAGGGCTTTCCTCATATAATTTGCCCTGTAGCCAGCAAAAGGTGCAAGGGGGGGGGACCTCCCCATGGGTCCTAACCATCAATGGGCTCCTGGTTGTAAAGCAAAATGGCAAACAAAGGATAGTCCCCATCAAAAGGTGTCCGGGTTCATCACCAATCATTTGTTGTGTCTTATACATTTGATTCTTCCAACTCTCTCAATCATTTTTTATATATGGAAGCACGGAAAAAACACACAATTATTGATTGACTATGGTGGGAGCACAAAACCGATGGCTATGGCTCGATTGGTCAGATCTTGCGCTGGAGCGTTTGTAGTTTGCGGCTGGAAAGAGATCTTAATCAATGGTGTACTTAAAAGACACCCGAGATCAGGAATTGTTTGATGGTGTAGTAAGTATGGGTAGTTGGCCGACCCTTAGCTGGAGAGAGAGTTTATCAGTAGCAATCTCGTCTCTCGTAGCATGACTGTGGTTCACATATATTAAGCTTTTGTCCTCTTGAACCGTGATGATATGGAGTCGTCCGCTTAAGAAAAGGAGGTTTACTCTGGACTTCAAGAGAAGGGCGTAAATGGAGTCCACCTCCACACAGTTTAACATCGAACTTGACTTGGCTCGACTATGCATGGCTTAGATCCAACACTTTGCTCGAGCTCGAAGGAATGTGGTTTTCTGAGCTTGATTGCAACTCAAAGACACGGGATGCATTATCAACATTGTCATACATATCCGGCAAAGAATCCCATAGGGATTTGGCAGTCTCTGAAAAAGCAAATATCTCATAGATTTGAGATTCCATTGAATTGAACAACCAAGACGTGACTATATTATCATTCGCCTGCCATTAGGTGAATTTTGCATCTTTAGATGCAGGTGTTATGATAAGACCATTCACATGACCCAATTGCAATCTACCCCTAAGATCTATAGAGATAGCTCTAGACCAAGGCAAATAATTATGTCCATTCAACATAGTAATTGTAAGTTTATTGGACATCTCAGAAACAGATTTACTGGTACTAGCCATAGTGCTAGACAGAAAAAGAGCACAAAGTTCAGCAACCTTTTCTAGGACCAATCGAGTCCAATGATAGATCTTCCTATGGGCAAAACAAAAGAAAAAAGAAAAGAAAAACCACTGCAAAAATATATCTACAAATAGCAGAACATGTGCTATAGGAACCACAAAGAGCAATCGGTCCAAAGGATAAAATTGTAGGAACAATTCACAATGGGCTACTGCTAGTGCATTATTACGACAACAATAAAGAACTCAGATTCTTAATCACCAATAGACAAGTGGAAGCATTGACAGTGGAGCCGACTTTAGGATCATGTTTCACTCTAATACCATGTTTTAATGATGATCATGTATAGAAGAGAGATAAAAGAAGAGAAGATGGACACTCAATGGTTAATGCGATTCAGACGACCAAGAATATAATCCCTTGAAAGCTTATATCAACGGTGGTAATGATATTTTAATAGAGATCAATACAATGAATTACAGTCATTGATTTGGTAACTACAGCTATCGTACAATTTTGCCGGATCTCATATTATATTAGGATTAGGACGATGTGGCATCCTTATCATTCTAACAAATAGATTTTGAAGAAGTTAATGTACTGATGGTTAATTTCGATAGGTGATCAAATGGAAGTTTCCCAATGTAGAAGTGAAATTGCGTAACTTTTGGTCCATGGCCTCGTTTTTCAGCTATAAAGACAACAAAAAGATCGCCCAGTTACGAAATTAGAGACTTACATCCAAAAGAAATGAAGTCAGTGTACCTTCACTCAGTAGGACATAATCAATTCGCATCTTTGGCTCATGTCTCATGGGAAGCGGGGTGGATTGTCCTAACAGCATGTTTGGTTGCAATAATAATCATTATGTTACAGATCAATTACAGTTGACTGTCTGTTAGAGTGTTTGCTTATAGTAATGGTTAGGGTTAACGATACAAAAAAACCCTAAATTAATACACATGTGATAAATTTACCACAAACTAATTTTTTTACAACGAAAAATTCCAAACTGGTACACCTGTAACAAATTTATCCTAAACTAATTTTTTGACCACTAAAAACCCTAAACTTGTACACTTATGATAAATTTACTCTCCATTAAATTGGATTACGAAAAATCACAAATTGATAAATCTGTGACAAATAGAGGAGTAAAACCCCAAACTGATACATCCGTCAACTGCCACGTATCATCTAACTTAACAATTTAACAATAAAATTTAAAGGAAACTGACGAAGGGTAAATTTGTCACAGGCGTACCAGTTTAGGATTTTTCATGATATTAACCCTAATAGTTATTATGGCGCAATACGTATAACAACCAAATTTGTAATAACTACTATACGACTCCCCATTGTAATAGTTAGTGCAACCTAGATGCAGTGGCTATTCCCAAAATATCCCGTGTCTTTTCTCCCACTTCTTCTTCCAATGTCAGATTATTAATTACAATTTAATAACTTACAACTAAATTT